TCTGTGTCGAGTGACAGAGAGTGGGGTGGGGGTCAGGGTGAACACTAGGGTCTTATCTTGGCCACTGGCCTCTTTCTGTGAAACACTCAACCATTTCCTGTCCTGGCTTCCCGCCTTATACCAAACAGACCTCTGCTTCAATCGTTGTTCTATTCAGCACACTGTATGGGTGTGCCATGGTGAGGTAATACAAACTTTTTCCAAAAGTGACGAACAATTATGACATACTCTAGTGTCACACTTGTAGCATTAACTCCAGTTTTTCTAGCATGCTTACACAATGAACGGATAACCCCCATAAAACATACCTAACTGCAAAAGTACACATTTATTTCAAAATACTGCTGCTGGTTTATAAAGCATTGAACGGTTTAGGCCCAAAATACAATTCTGCCCTCCTGCTAAATTATGAACCATCCAGATCTCTCAGGTCTTCTGGGACTGGTCTGCTTTCTGTCCCCAGAGTCAGAACTAAACATGGAGAAGCAGCGTTCAGTTATTATGCTCCAAATATCTGTAACTCTGGCTAATTTTTAATCCAGGCTGAAGACTTTTCTTTTTGCCGTTGCTTTTAATTGAACTATTCATATGTCACACTGCACTGTCAATTTTATTCATGTACCTGTGTTATTCATGTTTTATTATCTTTGCTTTTAAATTAAAGATCTTGTCTTGTTGAAAAATGCCATTTTATAATATATTTCTGCTGCACTATTTCTTAATGTCTTTCATTGTTGTAAAGCACTTTGAATTGCCTTGTGTTGAAAGGTGCTATATAAATAAACTTGCCTTGCCTTGCCTAAACTTGAACACAGGTCCAACAGTAAAATCCAAGTCTCATTTATAGTATGCAACTTGAACTACAAACACTTTCTACAACCTTTTATGATTTTTTTCATATTGTTCATTATGGAAGGGTTGGGGAAAAAGTGTCTTCCTTTAAAGGTGACCTATCATGCAAAATGCACCTTTGTAAGTCTTTTATACATGAATATGTGTCCCCGGTGTTCCAGAGAACTCACCAAGTGTCAGAAAACACAACCCATTCTATTTTCCTCCATACCCAAATCTCTTAAAAAGGGGCTGCAACGGATCTGATACAGACTGATCCAGATTTGAACACTTCTGTGACGTCACAGAAGTGGTGCTACGGCTATTGGGCCAACTCCACCAATCAGGAGGAGACAGCCACGGACATTGCCGTTCGAAAGCGCTGGAGACGCTGTAGTACATAGGCCAGGCCTGTAGATGGTGCTGTTCTCACAGAATCAGCCCATGCAAAGACAGTGTTAAATTGAGCGAAATGAGGAATGGCTAAAATGCATGATCTGTTTGGTATTTTGAAAAATAAAAAGTATAAATATGCCTTATATAGGTATGGTCCTACACTATATTATTCAAATATAGCATGATAGGTCCACTTTAAGCTTGTTATCAACGAGGATGTATGTGTATCAAACTCCACAGTACTGAGTCAGAGAGTCTGTATACAACGGCCATGACCTTTGCCTCTCCATACAAGCTTGCTAGTGTGTTTCTGTGCCTACATATGTGCATGTGATTTATTATGTATGCATGCAAAGGGGGTGGACACTCACAGAAGGAAGGAGATCAGACTCCAGATCACAAAACAAGCCTCGTGCACAGGAGCTCCTTGCTCTGGGATCCCATCTGCCCCATAAAGAAGCTGCTGCTGGCAGATGCCTCCAGTGAGCTGTTTTATGTGGGGGCACCAGGGGCCAAAGAGACATGTGTTTTCATGCACTGGAAAGAGGGTGTGAAGAGTACCTGACAGTGAAGACCTACAGGATCCATCTGCAGGTTTGCCCAGGAATGTGTAATCATCAGTTTGTAAAAGCCATTTGACAAGCTCAATGATAACTTACATCAAAAAAGACAAAGAACGTTTACTCTCCGCTGTCATAGGTGTTCTATATTATTTCAACATTGTCACTAAGCTAAACTTCTTAGCAACATGTTTTTGCGGTTACATATCTCAGTGTGTTTTTGATTAAAGAATGAACAAGGCTTATCCATTCAGTGAGCCCTCCTAGGATATTCATTTCAGTTTTCAGTGTGCAAATGAGTCATCCATCGGTGGTGTTTTCCCCTGCTCTCAGAAGTAATGCAAGGAAGTCAAAGCTGTAATTATTATTCTTCCACGCTAATTATGAAATTCCAAGCTTTCCTCTCGGTGGATTGTGTTGTGTTTGCACTGCAGTTTCTCAACCTGAGTTTAAGTGTTTATTTTTCTTGATTTTCTGAGGTTTGTGATCCGTCTTTTCCAGCCAAAGTCAACCCCACATCAAAAGGTCTCCGTGCGCCATTCGTCCACACGGCATCTCTACAGCGCTGATCACCAACAAAGGCTCTGTGTGGCAACCTTTGGAAAATGAGTGGGTGAGCGGCTCTCTTATGAAACACACTGTAAATATTAATCTTGGTTAAAGACGGTAGTTGGCTTTTGTTCCTATAAAAGCTATTTAGAGCGTTTGCCCGCACTTGGCCCCAGCAGCGGGCTTTGTTGAACGAGTGCTATCTTGTTTAAACTTCCCCCACCATCCCCCTCCATCTACAAACACACACACACCTTCACCTTCATCCTTTCCCACCTGCAGACAGACTCTCCCCGGTCATCAGACACGTATCCCTCCCTGTTTCCGCCTCCGCAGCAGTTTATAATGATATACTGTGTATTTACGTTGAACTCCACACTGGCATGCACAGGTTTGTCTGACATGATCCAGGAAAAGTCTGCTTTGAAAGCCGTAGGTGCCCTGTAATTAAACTGCTCTCATTTCTCCATAAGTCGATGTTCACCTCCTCTCACCTCTCTCCTGTTTGCATTTCCTTCTTTCTGCCTTCCTTTGTCTTTCTGCCCTTAACATATCCAGCCTCATCAGACAAACCCAGAGTTGGAGTATAAATCAGCCCCAGGGACAGGTGGACATCTGCCAGCCATGAGGAGATCCAGGCAGGAATGTGATCATTGATGCAGCTCAAAAAAACATTTAAATCCAGGCACCTCAAGGGACACAGTTTTCCCTGATTCACCCCCTCCGCCCCTTTTCATTGATCGAATTGACAGGGTTGATATTGGAGAGATGCCTTCTGCTTTCTTTTTCTTCCTGTTTGCATCCAGGATTCTCTAATGAGGGAATGGAGAAAAGCAGAAATTCGAGAAAGTGGCAGTGGGAGGAGGTTTTATTTGGAGAGATGATTCTGAAAGGCCAATGGGTCCATAAGGCAATGTCAATGAAAGTGAGTTTATCACAAGGTTTTGTGGCTGCTCACAAACAGGCTGCTCAGGTTAGCAAGCAGTTTTATGATGGAGACCGTAATGTTCTTTCAAGCCCCAGCAGGGTGTAGCGCAATAACAGCTCTGCTCCAACGTTGACCCTTTTCACGAATTAAAATGAACGATTGATTTCACTGCTTTCAGATTTTCTTCCCTATTTTTCCAGGAACAGTTTGGGCAACACTAATGAAAAGTGTCACGATGCCCTTCCAAACGTATGGCTTTAATAACATCTCATCAAGACGGAGCTTGGTGGCCATGAAGATTTACAGCTGTGCCTACTTAGATGGTAATCTGCTCTTACAGTTGGGTTGCAAATTATAAGAAGCATGATTTCAGAGTATTATTATTGAGACATATACAACATCCTTAAATTGGAAAAATATCACTATTGTCCGTTCTGCCTGTGTCGTTGATCATTGATGCAATCCACCAGAAGAGATGTGTCAGCTCGCAGCTGTTAGCAATTAGTATGTCAACTCCTCTAGCATGGGAGTTGACATATTATTGTGATTACATGTTTACCATGTTCTGTGTGAGGCTGCTTTTACCAAAAACGATATCCTTCTCACTATAGCTCACTTTATTTATGGGATTAATAAGTTGCAAACGGTCGTGACATTTCTGAATTACAATTCAAAACATAAAGTGTCTTCAAACTTGGGAGATTCTTTAGCTTATTAAAGCATCCTGCCAGCATAGGACTTATAATGAGACAACCTTTTGCGACTTCAGATATTCTCTCTTCTGACATTTTCTATGAGCATATTGTAGTTTATATTGCATGAACACAGATAGAGACTAGAAGTTGAATATCAAGTGTTTATATTTTAGGAACAATATCACCAGGAGGACAAAGGACTCTCTTTATATTATTCTCCCATGGCTAACATAACCAGAATTGTGATTGTAGTAATGTGTTTTTATTACATGTACAGCACTTTGGCTCGACCAAAAAACCCTTTTAAATGTGCTATAAATAAAACTTGATTTGAGAATTGATGCATTTCTAAATGTATACACGATCAAATGTAAATATTGGAGGAAATGTGTGACATGTTAACATGTTTATTCGCTTTATTGCCAATAGTTATATGAGAAGATCAATACCACTCAATGGAGTTACAAGTCTGCTGCTTGTTAGCGTAGCTCATCTTAAAAACCTACTGCTGGCCCTAGCTTCATATTTAGCATACATCCTTCAGCATCAGTGTCAGCTAGAAAGCGAGTAAGTGCATTCATACACAATTATAAACTATTCCTTTAAAACTCTTTAAAACACACTCTACACACATGAGCTGTATTCAAACTGTTTTTGCTGTTGTAATTCTGTCATGCTGAACTGTGCATGGAAAACCTGAGCTGATTTGCCTTGAGTGGGTCTCTGCCTGTTTCCTTAACAACAGAGGGAAAGCTCCCCTAACCAACACACACAGGCACACACACACACACACACACACACACACACACACACACACACACACACACACACACACACACACTCTCACATTTTCACACACACACACACACACACACACACACACACACACACACACACACACACACACACATCTCTGCTCTCCTCCCTCCCCTTTTCCTCGAGCTTGCCCTTTTTAGGCTGTTCCTCTGTTTAATTTTTTTTCCATGTGAAAGGGGGGATAGTATGACAGCTTTTCCTGCTTCTTGTGGATTGGAGCGGGGAGAGAGAAAACTCTGTTATTCACTCTGTCTCCAACTTTGAGAGGAAGTTACCACCTCTTCCCCAGACTCTGTACACACAGGCTCAGGCAGACACTCTCTTCAGGACTTGACCACAGCAGGAACAGAGTGAAAGATTCAGGATTGCTCGTAATGCTTTGTTTCTTTCAACATTTGGAGGGAAAGAAGGCTGAGATTTGCATTTTGCCTGAAGCTTTCTGTGTGGACTCAACAGTGTCAGAGGGACCTTGTCATAACAGACCGGTGAGTTTGACAGATTATTTCAGTGTATAACCAGCTCCATAGAAACCTCAGTGTAACACAACTTTTCTGTCACTCTACTTTTTCTGTAGTTGAACGTTTTAATGCTCTGAATCTCATGTGAGCTAAAACTATAGTTTGGCAGGCTTTTTTAGAGGTGCGTGTGTCTAGGGAAACTTCCAGTTGCTATAAACTCAGATATCTGGTTTCAATCGCAGCAGCTCTAGTAAGTGCTTACATCAAATTAAATGAGTTTCTTGCTTTTGATTGTTTACATTTGACAAAACAGGGTTAAATAGGACAGAAAAGTTAATGAGTGTTGGAAACAGCAGAGTATGCAACTTGATGAAGCCATGACATTGGCTTTCTTTTAAAGTAATAACCACATCTTATTCTAGTTTTTTACTATTTATCTTTTCATTATCAGTCCATTACTAAACCAAATAACCACATCCACCCTAGCAGTGTCAATGCATCACAGTTTGGTCCTGCTAAACGTGTTTGTTTTGCTGCATGTTTTTTATGAAGCGCAGCCAAAGTGGAGCTGATGCAGCACTTATGGTTGGACAGGATAATCCTGGTATGGCTTTCCTGTGCAGCTGCACCTTATTGGTTAACCTTGTGGTGATTAATTAATTTTCACCTTGCTATAATAAAAGTAAACATCCTGTCGCTTTTTGTATACATTTTTTTATACCTGAAGAAGCAGATGCCATGTAATCAAAGACAACTGAGATGGAGGAAATGGCATGGATCCCAAAATGAGGCATGAAAAGTGCTCTCATGTTGCAACTGGCTTTGTTTAACTGTTTCCCCCATTTTGTATACATGAACTCATAGAAACATTCATGCAGGACAGCAGTTGACCATATGCCTTAGCTCCCATAGCTCTCTCTCTCTCCACTGGACGTTTGTGGTCAGCAGGTCTTATCAGGGGGAGAGCGAGGTGAGGGAAGAGGGAGGTGGTGGGTGGTGGCTGGAGAGGGCTGGGTTGCTCTCAGGGGTCTCCTTTAATTGACACAATCTGAGTGGGCTGGCAGCACTTCAGCTGTGCCTCCTCCAGTCAATCAGATAACATAGGATGAGTTTGAATGCTCGGTCACCCCTTCAAGGCCAGGCTGGGAAGAGTTGACTTCTGTGTGACCTCTTGGAGCTATTCATGCCAGCAGTCTAACCTTTACTTCCTTTTCAAAACCCAACTGACTCACTTATCAGCAGGCCTGTCTTATCTGTCCTGAGAATGGTTGTTCAATTACTTTATTTAGCCAGGGGTCAGAGGTCAGATTCTGATTTGAACTGCTTGTCTAAAATCCCAGGGTACCAATCTGTTTGCAGGGGGAGATACAGAAAGTTTCAGACTACACAGAGCGAAGATAAATCAAGCGAAAACAACCTAAGGGAGACAGCTTTACACAGTGAGAAGTCATTAACAAAACTCCTTTCAAGAATATGGGGAACATTTCTTTATTTAAGTGTTGTTTTCAATGTAAATTATTAGATTTAAATAACATGGACCTACAGAAGATTCTGCATCAAGAGCTCACTTGGCCAGCTTCTGTTTTGTAGCATTGTGCAGCAAGCTAGTTATGTAACATATAAATTAGAATAAGTAATGATTTCATGTTACCCCGAAACACTTCATGGCTGTATTACTTACAGTTCAGCCCAACCATATACAAAACTGCAGCCCAGTGGATAACTTACAGCAACCAGTGCCTTGGCAGAAAATGTTTCCAATGTTCAAAAAGTCCCACTGAACATGACTCTGATCAGCTACTGGAGATCAAGGACAGTCATATTGTCATAAGGTGAGTTAGCACAATAACAATAGGAACAAATATCACATAAACGTATTGTTAGGAATGTATGTATGGGAAGTTGAAGTACTTGTAAATGTAGTTTGTGTCGCATATCTAGCCAATGACATGCAGCCATTCACCCAGATCAGCTTATCATCAGCTGATCTCTTTGAAGCACTCTTTCCCAGAACAGAGAGGTCCATTCAAACACATGGCTCTTTAAATGTAATTGTTACCACTGCTCACTGTATAGTTACTGGTATTTGTAAAACAATGCCAGTTTAAAAGACATTTTATGTGTTTCTAATTCCTATAAAACACCAAAGGCATAAACAATGTGTGAAACGGAGAATACTTGTTTTGCTTTAAAAAGAAATTGGCTTGAAACACAATTTCTTTCATCATCTTAATGTGGCGGCAAAGCATTTCAATATTTAAGGCTTTTCTTTGTTGACCCTCTTCATAAAGTCATTGTAAAAATGTTGATGGGGAATGTTATGAATCTACACAAAGATACAAAATGACAAAAACGTATGTTCTGCTTACCGTAACTCTTAATCTCACTACCATTAAATGACCAGAAGGATATTTTAGAGGGAGTTTGATGAATGACTTGTCTCACAAACTGTGTTTAGCAAAGCCACTGATGTCTTACAGGGCTCTATTGCTTCCTAGTAGGAGCTTCACTGGTCCAGACCCTCTGCTGTTTAGGCTCAGGCAGATTTTTGACATGCTAAATCCAGTGGGTTTACCCAAGCTTACACTCCTCTCTCGGGTACACACATGCACACACATGTAGCTAGAGACACACTCCCTTACCCATACAAATCCACTTGAGCTAACAAAGATTCTGTTTGAATTATATGTGAGTATTTGGTTGAACAAGATCATTCAGACTAGATCTATTCAACCATAACTTATATACGGTGCATTGTCGTTTATTTAATGATAACCCAAAGAGAGTTGAACCACAATTAGGTTAGTCCCAGACTTCATGTTGTATTAAATCGACAACCCTCACATGACTGTAGTGGCCAAAATCCCCAAAAGTTTGTCTTGTAACCTTCACCTCAAAAGTTATTGTTCTTGGCCACATGTAGAGCTTGGGCCTCGGAAGCAGTGTCAGACTCGCAGTACACAATCCACTGGACGTTTCGGTTGCTTTTCAAGGTTTATTTCCAGTAAAACATAAACAAAATACGAAAACAATATTTAACATAAACTTAAACAGCAGATCCTAATAATCTGTATTTGACTAAGTATAAGGTTGCGTCTGCGTGTCAATGACGGTATTGCTGCTGCCTGCTGCTCTGCCGTCACACACCGCACCTCCAATTTAAAGCCTTAGCCCCGCCCCCTTCAACTGAGCAAAGCACACCTCTTACTGAAACAGAAAAATGCATTGATAAAGGTTCCAAATAAATCAAAACAAAATAAACTTAAATGCGGCTCCTACATGACATTTCATTATTTACTGAATAAACCATTCACAAAGCGTTTGTTTATTGCTATATCATCTTCCCATGTGATGAGGAACTTTTCAGCTAAAATTTCCTTTAGGATCTGGCCTGAAGGGCGCGTTTACTCAACCCTATCGTCAAAATATGAAGCGACTGTAATTCAAGGAAAAACCACGACGGATGACAATGGTGTTGATGTTTTTGTAATTACTACTGGTTGCTAATATAAGTCTGTAGAAGTCATACAGGCCTTTTAAATAGCTGAAAACAGGCACTAGCCTTCCCTTTCACTACACAACGTTGTTCATGTCACAACAACAATTCTGAACCTCTTAAATCCCGTGGAGCCTCACCACATTCATGAGTTGTGCAGAGAAAATGCTTCGGACCCAATCATACGAAGGGCAAACACGTGTTTTGTGTCACAGAGTAATCCGTGGGGTCCATGTAATTGATACAGTATGTGGCGTTGGCGTGCTGCTGGATGGTGGCCCAGATCGATGAAAAGGGTGAGATCATGGCTCTATTTTTGGAGCTCTGAGTTAAGGATGATCTAAAGCCCACTGCGCTTTAGAGAATCATGGAGGAATGTTCATGTGAATCAATTTCAACCTGCAGGAACATACACAGGCAACCAGGGACTACCAATACACAGTAACACACAAAAAAAACCTGTTTTTTTACCCATGAGCACTGCTTGATTGGTAGCGCGATAATGACCGTAGGAAGATGGTACATGGGATATCTCCTCTTGATTTGATTTACATAGTAAAGCATGAAGACTCAACCTCCCATCAACCTCCCATCAGGAACACATCTGTGTCCACTTGCCCTAACCCCCAGTTCAGTCCCATATCTCCATTACCTTCCATTACCTGCCATAGCCCACAAAATATACTCTTCACTGGATGAGCTGTGCACTGTGGTTCACTTTTTATGACATAAGGATACACAGGGATTCATTGGGGCAAGGGTTGCAGTAACTACTGAGCCAGACTGGCGTCACATTGGCATACTGGGGCATGTTGGATTTACAGCCCTTCCCTTGTTTAAGTCAAATAATAAAGTGCCGACAATGCCTGACTGATTCAATTCTGTGTTTACTCCAGGAAAACGTTTTTGGTCCTTGAATGCAAAGCTGTTGTTCATTGAGTCCATGTCAAATAAAGTCCATGCCTTAAGCTGGAAACAACAACCCATGACTAAACAAAGCTTTCTTTCAGCTTTATATCAAACACTAAACCGTATTCAAGAAGTTTGCATAAGATCAACTTGTATAATGGATTGTAACATGTACAAGTTTGAATGCTGCACAAACAACAGGTTTAGATCAGAATGTATTTCCTGTTAAGACCCACACAGCTAGAGCTTTTCTCTCTGCAGCACATTGTAGTTCAGATTAAGGTTAAATATGATTTTAAATGTGTTTGTTTCTTGGATTTGTATTGCCTACACAAAGTGTTCATCAGCATTCATCAGGTCTTTATTTCTGTTGTACGCTTGACAGTCGAGACTGGATGTACATTGCTCACTTAGGAAACAGCAGTTCACAATTGCTTGCTTTTTCCATGCTTGTCTTCATTAGTGGAAGTCCCCCAAAGTGTGATTTGGTCGAAAGCTCCACAATAAGCAAGTGAGGACTTTGGTTTCAAAGACTGTTTACAATGTCAAGAAAGGAACAAGCAAGCATTTGAACACACAGGGTCTTCTTCAAACATCTGCAAATGAAATGCACAGCAAGATCTGGACACTATTTGGCAGAAACCTGCTCTGCGTTTTCGTCTTCTGCTTCTCATCCCATCTTTGAGCGTAGCAACTCTTTTTACAGAATAAAATAAACTCGTAAGATATTTGCAAATGCAGAACTACACGTCTCTGTCCTGAAGGCCACCACCACATGCCTGTCCTGTTTCCAAATGCAAGAGTTTTCCTCTCAGACACTCTAGCAGGCCTTGACAAGGAGGAAGCAGCACTAATGCTTAGCACAGCTTGAAACCCAAGATCTTCATGTCAAGAGGAACTGGGAGTTTATGCTCTTACTTTCTCCAGAAAACACTTGGGATAGAGATCTTGGTTTGGACAACGTTTCTGTTTACTGAGTGGAAAGTAAAGCACCACTGCTGTTTTGAGGCAGAGCTTGAGTTCCAGTGTGTTTTAGTACTTGGAGACCGTTCTCTGGCTTGATTACAGGTGTATGATAAATCGCTTGTAGAGACATCCAGTGGATTGTGGTCAAGTTTCAGACTCTTTGGCAGTTCGAAGGCTGCTGTTAACCTTTACATCAGCTAGTGAAAGAATTTCATCTTCAATGTGAGAAAAACTGAGCCAAGGCCGAGCTTTGATTCAGTATATTTATTTAAGGGAAACACGCAATGTTTCAGAATGTGCTCCGCGAGCTGAAAATAGTGTGTTAATGACCCGGATAGGCTTGTTTGATGCTATGCGTCGTTAAGTCCTGATGTTTTTTTCAGTAGCAGCCACAGAATCAAACGTTGCAATGAACATAATCAAGACCAAATACACTGTGTTAGTGTGTGCCATAACTCTAACCCCTCACCAGAAATAGTCTGTGTGTGGACTTTAATTTAAAACCAATGAAACGTGATTACATTCTGTAAAGCTTCGTCCCGGGCGGATCAAAGAAAGACCATCCGTTGGGTCAGGAATTGTTGCGGTCGCTCTGAAATTCTAGGTATTACAAATATTGTGTTCCCTCTGCGGTTCGTCGTGTGTCATTACAATGAGGAAAAAACACTCACTCTTTCACTTGTGTAAACTGAACTTTTCATCTTCTGTGTCTAAATCCAATGTGGCATAAATTCCACTGAAGGGTTATGCCCTCTGATTTCTTCATTGTGGAAGAGAAGTATTGCAGTTGGATGGTTTATGAAACAAGTATTACTTGCGAAGTATCTAGGGAAAAGTGCGTTTGCTTTGGAGCTCTGCCCCTGTATGGAGGCAGATGATGAATCAGCCAGTTGTTTACAGCTCCGTCACAATTTCTTAATTTAGATACTGGACATGCGTAAAGAGGGCTTTGACCTGGATGTTGTCTCTGCGGGAAAGGGACACACCCTTTGGGAAGGAAGGGCCATTGTGGTCTATCTCCAAGTGGTTTTTTCCACTCTGCTCCTCAATCCAAACCAAAGCAAACAATGGTCAGTCAGTCAGGAATAGTGTTTAACCTCTTCTCCAGCCACCACACCACGCCATGATGTGTTTATGCTGGCTTCCACACTTTCTGCTGGGACCATACATAAACAACTCATCCCTGACTGACAGAGTTCTCAGGGGGACTATGCTGAGCTAACAATAATAATTTGTTACTGGGATTATAATTGTTTTGATTTAATATGAGATGAAAATATGGTTTCTTGCACAGTTTAAGGCAGGTCAGGATTGGTCAAGTGAATAATTAATGGTCAGCGGCGTGCAAGGGACTCAGGAAGGGGACGCCTCAGTGTTTGACCTCAGGATAGGAGGCCAGGAAAGACAAATGATAAGCTAAAAGGGACAAAAAATAAGATTAAACATTAACCTCACAGGCGCGAAGACATGGCACCAAGACACATGCTGCCACTGGTTGGCTAGATCGTTTGAAGTGTTTAGGTTAGACAAGATATATGAGCATTATTTGGAACAAAATAATGAAAGGCTCAAGGAAAGTGTGTCTTAAAGTATATAAATGATGAGTACTAACACAATTGCCTTGAATTTATTTTTGAAAAAACGAAATCTAATGCAGGTTGGCGACACAACAACACCATATGTTGTTTTTATTCTTGACATTTCTCACTTCTATGACAGAGCAGTTGGCGTGAATACTCCCACCAGCCAGCACTCCCTAAAAATTGCAGTTTAGAGTGTGAGAAGTGAAGTGAGAAGCCGTTTTTGTTTGTTTGTTTGTTTGTTTTGCCAAAGCGATGGTCCTATACCAAATGGAAGTACTATTTATAATTTGGAGTGGGCTTTTTTTGTTATTGTGAATATGTGATTATGTCAGGAACTATAATTTGAGGACTGTTGCTTTATTTATAATACCTACCAGGCAGCTAATATTGCAATTCAGATTGAAGTAAAACATGATGTTCCAAATAATTGAACAAATTGCAGATGCATGACTTCTTTTTGTAATAACTAAAGTTTCATTTTTAAGGCTGTTAGGTAAGGCAACATCTGAAAAAGAAAAGCAAACTGGGTCACTTGGAGAAAATGACTTAAGGTTGAGTCACGGCATAGTACATGGCTGGGGAGGGGAAGGTCTGGTAATAATTTCCTTCTTAGGTAAAACAAAAACACAACAAAAACAACAGGGAAGGATAATTAGTGTTTAGATAGACTTTAAACAGGTCTCCAGTTTTCATTAACCACCAGTAACAGACGGCGAGAGCTGATGAAGCTCAGGTTTGCTGCATTCCTGTGCGAGAAGAGGCCGGTTACTGTACTGAAGGTGTCCAATCGCTGGCTTTGACCTTGGCTTGAGGAACGGTCATTCGAGCCGTTCACTTAATTACCTTTGAGACAAAAACTAAATATCTCATTGAAACCCCAGGTTCTCCTGCTCTGCTTGGATAATGATGTATAGATTCCATTAGTGGGGAGGGATTAGGCTCAGCGGGAGCGAGGAGATGATTCATAATTGAAAAGAAAAGGAAGGAAGCTCGACAGGAAGACATCACATAGGTCCATCCCTGCCGTGCACTGCAGAAACAAAGGCACCATCGTCTGGCTCCGTGGGGACCGAGGGGGTGGCCTGGAACACTTGTTACCATAGTGACAGCTCTGTCACTTAGCCCCGAGCGCTGTAGGTCAGGCGCTCTGTAGTGTACATAGCATCAGCCAAGAGTCAGCAAGATCCAAATCTGCCCTGGAAAGCACGGGCTCTGTTAAACCAACTACAGCTGGCAGAGGAGCTTTTTCATGGCTACAAGTTGGAAAACTTCACAGCACAGCATTTTTCAGAGCCCCCGATCCCCCACCTGGCATGTAAAGCACGAACCCCCCACACATTATAGGCTTTTTATTGAGTAAAGGAAAGTGATTCTTGGGCTTGTGTTGTAGGATTTCTGCCAATGTGTTTTGCTCTGGGCTGCTAGAGACGTGGAGGAACTTTGGCATAGCACGGAAACTTCAGATTCTGCTTTCTTTTGTATTTATTCATATGGCTCAGGACCATGCTGAGATATGGAGCACAATCAGAACATCAAAAAAACAAACAAAAATAAAATGTCTCCAAAAAGGCAAATAGTGTACACATTACTTTTGGCTAATCTGATTTGAAGTACAACATGTATTCAAACACAGATGCGTGGTATAAAGAATACTTTGGAGAAAACTTAAGATAAAAAGTGAACGTACTTATTTTATACTGTTTTGTTTTCAAGATATTGAGGCAAAAAGGGTAAAACCAACTACTACCTCATTAATTAAACTTAAATAAGGTTGAATAAGCAGCTCCTTGAAAGCACCATTTAAATATTCCTCAATGTAGAGTATGTATCAGATATGTTCTGTTATATTCCATTAAACTGAATAGGTGTTTCTAATAAAGTGGCCAGTGAACGTACATTCCTGTGTTTCTGTGGTATTTGCATTTCAACCCGTACGGGCTCAAGACAGTTGAAGCAGTGAAAACTGAAAAGCCTGCCTCTAGTCTCTTGCCGGACCGTGTATCCTGCAATAGGCCTGTCAGTGTTTGCATTGCAGACGCCCCCCCTGAGTTTGGATCTAATGTGGCTTGACGTCCGTCTGTGTGTATGTTTGCTCTTGTCTCAGGGTGGCCAAATGAACGGTTTAGCGTGAGGACCAAAGATCACAACATCCAACAGCACAGCGAAAGAGAAAGAGAGCCATTTTGCAGCCATTCTCCAACTTCCCATTACACTATGAGCTGGGATTGAGGACGTGCTTCAAAGTTTCATTTTGTGGTAAGTTTTTACATTTTATCCACACTCCACTCTCTGTTTACTTGTGCTTTTACAGGAAAATGTGTGCTTTGTTTTAAAGTTCATTAGTGAGCCACATGACATATGGTTTACATGTGCGTGGTTTTATGATTGGATTTTACTTGTTCTAAATGAAAAAATAAGCACAAATGCAGCATTATTAATTAAGGTATTCAGCTATTGATATAAATCCGGCACTGAGGTTATTAGTGGGTGAACTTGGAGATACATTCAAACACAAACATGTGGATTGTGCAATTTGAGGACATCCACATTGATCTGTGTGAAGGCATTCTGACATGTGGCTTGACTTAGAGAAGTGTGGGGCGGCTTCAGAGTTCATCATAATTTCACACAAACTGATTTTTTTTTCCAGCCAGGCAAAACACAAAGCACATGTTGGACGGGAAAAGCCCTAACATTAAGTTGGGAGCTTAAAGGGCACCTCCTTTTATTTTTAACTGGCCTTTCCTCTGTTGCCATCAACACTCGTATGTGTTTCATGGTGCAACACTGTGATGTCATCAAGCCATGGAAATGGAAAATGTTCACAGAAGAAAAAACATTAGCAGGAAAGGGCAGCAGGGTAGAGGAGGGGGGGAGTCGAGGAAGGTTAGCAGAGGAAATGTGGTATTCAATGGAGGCATATGAAATAAATGTGTTTTCTCAGATGAAAAACAGGCCTGTTTCTGCTAGAGAATAAAGCTACTGAGTGAAGAGGTAGAATCAAGGTGACACAGAGGATGTATATAATTGCTGAAAACAGAAAACAGATTGAAAGGAGAAAGAACTTGAACTGTTCTTATATCTCTTGTGGTGCAGGGCTCCAACGGTTTTACTTCAAGAAAGACTTCCTTGGGAGTGTAAAAGGTCACGGCCGCACACGGGAACGGTTAAAAAAAACCACAATAGAGCTCCTCAGACTGACAGGACGCCAGGAGGACAGACAGCTTAAATGTCAGGGACACAAAGTCCAAACAAAACACATCAATTTAACAACAAACTGCTCTTTCCCTCGGGGCTGCACAAATTGATCTGGGAGTCCCATCAGGCAGGAAGGAGTCCTTTGTGGCTACTTGCAAAATTGACTTTTGACCTCTTTTATGGAGGGTTCAGAATGGTTTCATGGTTCAGAGAGAACAGCAGAGGCAGAGTGCCATGTGCCAAACGCGTTATGATGATCCCAGATGAAGCCAGTATTTAGAAAGACAGAGGAGCTTTTGTTTGACACTTGGAGGCCTCATCCAACCCACCGAAGGCATATGAAGAAGTACCGTGGTCAGTGGGTTTGACATCCAGACGCTGCAGAGAATGTGACACTGGAGGAAGGAAGCTTGGGAAATAGTTCAAAGACTTTCTGCACCTGAAAAAGCATTGCTATGGTGCTGAGTTGCATTGTACGCCAACGTCAGATGTGTCATTGTAATTTTTTGTTTTTCAGGTGTGAAAAAATCTACTAAAGATCACCATGGATGTGAAGAAAAAAGAAATGGACCTCCTGAGCAACAGCATAGCTGCATATGCTCACATAAAAGGTAAGTCACACTGCAGCCACACAATAATACTCTCTGTTAGTGATCTCTAACACAAATACATTAAGTAACAACATTTGACTCGATTCGATCTCCTTTCTTTAGCAAACCCAGAGAGCTTCGGCCTTTACTTTGTGCTTGGAGTGTGTTTCGGCCTGGTGCTGACGCTCTGCCTTCTGGTCATCCGCATCTCCTGTAAGCCCCGGACCAACATCGCCAACTCAACACCTGAGAAAAAACCCTTAAAGGACATCAGCGAGGAGGACGAAGAGAGCGACGACGATGAAGATGAAGATGGGGACGACGTAGAGGCACCCATCCCTTTGCCAAGCACAGAAATCCCTGTTGGTAATCATATCGGGCAATCAAACGGGACACTGAGTGTGAACGTGTTTACTTCGGCTGAGGAGCTGGAGCGGGCACAGCGTCTGGAGGAGAGGGAGCGCATCATACGTGAGATCTGGAGGAACGGCCAGCCTGATATCCTGGGGTCAGGAACAGGGACTATTGGCAGAGTGCATTACTACTAAGATACATGAGGCTTCAAGAGAAACACTGGGAGCTCTGTGAAGGACAGGGAGAGACCTTTGGGTGGGCCCGATGTCCCTGAAGCCTGTGAGACTTGTGTTAGATACAATGCCACGTCATGGAAACAGGACAACAGTGATGTGACTTTTTGATAGGACAATACTCAGCTTTTTTTACAGAGCTGAACCATGTGATATTGCACTTCCCATGTAGCAATGTTATTTTCAACTGACTACATGACGTTTTAACCAACAGGTGTCTTAAGGACTGATCATTCCATATGGAAAATATCTAGTGTGAATGTGGGAGCTGAATGACACTTGAAGTAGTCAGTCTATTCAAATGTATGGCGCTTAATGACAAAAATGCACACAAGTATAGGATTATGTATGTTATAAGTGGAAAATGGATGCATATAAGGACAATGTATGTACTGTAATTTGCTATGAAGATGTTTTTTTAATTGCAGTCAGGACAGTCGTCCTCTAGACGGGTGAGTTTGTGGGACATATAAAATACTCTCAGTGTCTGTGTAAGGAAATTAAATTGTTTAAAAAAAGCACATATGAATCAATTTGGGGGGGGGGGGGGTTCAGAATACACAGCAAAATGTCAGGACAATTACATTTGGAGTCTATAATTTATGAGTTCATTAAATCCATGTCTGTGTTTTCAGGGATGATTCCACCAAAGGAAATGACAGAATTAAAGTATTACGCTTAAATCATTTGCTGTTGTTTCTTCATATCGCTCAGATATTAACAGAGCTCATTTTCTTTGTACCTTTAGGCCATTGATTTATAATCAAGATAAAGAGAGAGAGAACATTTGCTAAATAAGAATAATGGAAAGGTCATTTTTTGTAATTAGTTTTTTCTGCCTAATGTTTAATTTGTAAGAGCTTCAAGAGGACAGTCAATGTGTTTACAAGGCTCTAGTTAATTCAGACATTATGATTGTAAAAGGAAGATATCCTGATAACAGAGAGAATGCGATACCAGGAAAACAAAAAAAACATCTGGATATTTGAGGTTAGCCTGAAAGCTAGTTCAGGAAGACAACAGGGCTGTACCGTAGCATATCAAGCGCACCCGTAGTGTAAAGGCGGGCGATTTAACCTGTCAACACCTGGGACACCTGTTTGCTGCTTTTACTATTGCACCTGACACACTTATCACGTAAAGTCCAACCATGTTGCAAGTTACTTCAGGGCGGTTTTATCGATTAAATATTCGGAAATGCGTCGCTCATCCCCCCGTCTTCGTCGGCCATGGCTCCTGTCCGTCCACACACGTCTTGAGTTTTCATGTTGACATTGTGACCGCAGCCTCACCAAGGTAAGTGCTGCTACTTGTACGGTGAAGGATGCCTTGTTATGTTCCTGATGATGTGCTTGGCAATGCTTTTTTTGACACTGGAAATGAGGATGAACATTGGTCAATCCACCACTTCCATGACTGATATGTCAACAAATTGGATGGGCTGCCATGCATTTAATGTAATTTACAGACATTCATGTTCCGTAAATGCTTAATCCTACAGATTTTGGTGATCCCCTGACCAACGTGAGGTTGACATGTTTGAGTAAAATCTGCTGAATTGCCATGACATTTGATACAGATAGCCCTTTCAAGAATCCCATAGGTCTTTCTTTTCCACTTGCTTGACTCCCTAACTTTTTATCTAGTGCCACCAGCAGGTCAAATTATTCACTTATCCAGTGAGCATTTTCATCTGGACAGCTCAGACATTCCTGGTTCCCAAAGGGATGCATCTTCATAGATGTAATGAACCCATAACTTGTGCTCTGGTTCTAGCAGCAGTTTTGATTTGGAGTGAAATATTTGAACAACCTTTGGGTAGATTGGCAAATAATTTGTGTCAGGCATTAATTAATGGATCCCAGGCATTGAAGACATCAACAATATCTTTGGTAAACCCCTTATTTTGTATTCAGTGCCACCAGCAGGATGAGTGTGAAATGTGTGGACAGGTATTGGTAAATGTAATGGGTATTCATGTTTCCCAAAGCAGCCTGACCTTTTATCAAATGTAAACTTTAGACTAGATTTGCAACCAAATAGCCTACCTGCAAAACTACTGGCATTCCCATCCACCTCAGCTGCACTGTACTGGCATTGTTAGGGTTTGAGCTTGAACAACATTAGCATTTAGCTCAAAGCACTGCTTAATTGTCTCCCTGTCGTGTTTGCATGTCTTGGAGTCTGCTGGCTGCTTACATTCGCTCTTATGCTTTTTGTGTTGTTATAATTGAATGTGCATGCTGGGTGATAATGTCTTCTTTAATGCTGCTGAAATGTGCTGGCTTCCATGTTTTACTCGTACAGTATGCTGTTAATAACTATGCTACATGTGCAGTGTGTTTGCATTGGTCGTAATTGCCAATAACTGATTTTCTTCTGTTGTGGCTGAGTTCATTGTTCCTCTTGGTTGTTTGGCATGTGCATTTGTGATGCTTTGATTCGTTTTATAGGGGCTTGATTGGTTTTGTGGCATGTTTCCTTTTATGATGTTGCCATTGTTTTGCAGTGGTGCTTCTGGCTTGCAAACATATTGCACACAGCTTATTTACACAATGATCCAATTCTATTGTAATGGTTGAGAATGAGAAACACAGCATGGCTTTTTTCTTTTTCACATTTTCTTCCCATTTGTCTCAGGTAGATACATTTTTAAAGCTATTTTTATGGGACAACTTTCTTCTACTGTTACATTGCAATGATCTCCTCATTGTACTGATGTGGATCTGCTGCTGCTACTCTAACATTTAATAGCAAAACCAATTTTCAGATTGTAAACTCCTAGATTGGAGTTGCACCTTCTCATAATTTCCACTCACATACTAGTACAAAGCTCTGTATCTTATGTAGTATTGTGGGTAAAGCATTATCTTCACTCCCAAAACCCTGCTGTTCTGACTTCTAATGGGGTCAGAGCTGAGGAGGCCAATAGCAACTCTGCATTCACATAATAAATCTGTTTCTTGTGAGTTGGCTGATGGAAATATTGTTTGGCTGCCAATATACCAACAGAACATTGCTGAATTGCCCACACTGTGTGAGTGTTTGTATTCAACATTAGAACAAGTCAATCATTGGTGGTTTGGAGATCTGGAAGTTGTGAAAGTATGAATTCTTGGCATGTCAATAAAGCTATACAAAAAGGGAAAATATACAAAATAGACAGTGTATGGCATGCATGTGTCCAGATGTTTCTGCTAGCCAAACCAAAGCCAGAAACATCAGTCTTACGTCCTAATGATGCTGGTGTAGCTTTGCTTGGAGGAAGCTCTTGGTTTAAGTTGGGGTCAGGCCGAGGACTTCGGCTCGAGTCGTCCTCAAAATACAAATCTTTTTTCAGATGTCGCCCACACTGAACGCTTGGTCTTGGAAAAGCCCCTAATGTGGTCACAGTGTTTCAGAAATGAGTGGCGTTGATGGTGTGGACTCTTTGAGGTGGCTCTGTAATTTGTATAAACCTCTTGTGAATGGCGTCTACCCCAAAATAATAGGACCCAAATTATGTTTTACTCGACCCGCCATTGAATATTTTCTATAGAGCATAGTTTAATTTGACAGGATGTAATCATGGCACATGTGTAATTAGAGGCATCCTATCTTAGACTGATGCTGATTATAGTTATGAGACAATACATCAATAAAAACCAGTTATGGCAAGCTGTGAATGGAAACAACAACACGGCGTGGGAAATATCTCCAACAGACCAACAGACTGTGGTTCTTTGGTTGATTTCAGAAACCAGCCTTTACAGATAGTAACTACTAGAACCACTTCTCTATTAATAACATTTTTATCCTCATGGCCACATTATAAACCTTTGAGTAGCACATACAAATAAGATTTCGATTATGATTTGGTTCAATTAAGGCTTTATATATATTTTTTTAAAGTCCGTCTGTGTTAGATTTATTGCCATTTCCCATGAGATCATGTTTCTGTGTGTGTCCAGCTCTTTCTTTGACAGAGGCGCACTGTTCTTCGTCAGCTCCTCTTTCTCCATTTCTAATTTTACCTCAGGATTTATTTTGTATGTGACCTCTGAGCTCCAAAATGTTCTCAAGTTTCCAGTACTCAGTAATCTCACTTTTCTTACATTCCTCTTATATCACTCTGCACTTAGTCAAATATTTGCATGTGGAGAATTCTGATTTATAGGGTGTAATAGTATAAAGCAGCCTTAGTGTAGGCAGCAGCCATCATCCCTGATGTTTTTGAATTTTTGTGAAATAAGTAAAAGCCTCACTTGTGTGCAATGGCTTTACAAACTGGACATTTAGTTTTTTTTAATCTTGCAACATTTTCACAATATCAACTGATACTTCTTTCAACCTGCATGTCCAAGAGGGAATGTGCCCTCAATGGCCATTATTCAACGCAGTTTTTAAAAATAGTATGTTCCCATGGAAGTTTCAGAAGCACCCGGTCCCTGATGAGCTCCAGATGTTGTCCAGATGTGATCTACAGTGAGCAACGCTAGTAAGCTTAGACATTAGCACACCACCACCGCCGCCTCCATTTGGAGCAGAAATCAAATCAATATGCCTTATACTCATTAGATGGTTTGGTGTTTAACGCATTCAAGTTATGGTGGGTTTCAAATTATTTCTCATTCGTTCTCTCCCACGCTCTCTGCATCCATCGCAATGAGTCGAATGTTCAACGTTTATAGTGAGTCAGTTTTTCTCAGTGGCACAGGAGGCCTTTTTCACTTAACTGCCAAAATTGAAGCTGACCACAAACTCTGTTACCAGAGTAACCCCTGAAGCATCTCAACATCAATTAACATCAGCCATTTGTTTGAGTCTTAACATGTTTACTGTTCTGAAAGATATATGCTTTTTGTTTTCTAATGAGAGATCACTATTGCCTGGTCACTTTCACCAATCACTGAAAGGTTCAACACTTATTTATATGTATTAGTCACACAGTGCCACCCAGTGGATCAATGCAACATTACATTCTGGTGTCACCTGCACTTCTGCACATTTGTTCACAGTTGTACTTCAAGTATTAGCATTCAAGTAACAAAACCCTTTGGATGGCTTGAAATTATATATTTCATCACAATATTTCCTCCTATATACAGCTGCATGTAATATATATTCTGATGTAAATGTTAAAAGTGCAGTTTGTAATAAAAGGGACAGTTGAATCAGAACAATGTAAAACATTCATTGGCAGCCAAGAGTAACCCATTTTACACGTTTGATTTCCAGCATAAAAATATGTAAAAACTTTAATAATACATCATTAAAAGTATTTCTCTCCAGTTCAATTCAGGATTAGCTAATCCTATGTCCAACTATATATTTTAATTTAGCCCTCATACTTTTGACTGCAGTGGGAGAGCTTGCTTATGTTCTCCGTTCTCATTTTATGTTAGAAAATTGTTCATTTTGTTTAAACTTGCCGTACACAAGCCTGCATGGCACAGTGTCAGACAGCACAGTCACAGTCTGTTGTTGGGATTAATGCTTCATCCTCAAACTGTGTACTTCATCCTGTATGGAAAAGACATTTAAACGGTAAATAACCACAGCCATGAACCACCGCTTCTGTATCATTTCTTATTGTGTGATCCATGCAAAACTCAAAGCAAGCCTCACTGACCTGCAGTGCCATTCGTTTGTCTCTCTCCTCCCTCAGTTCTTCTTTCACTTCCTGCATGTCTCGGCTGATCAAACACAAACAAAATGATGAGTTTGCAGTCATGGGTTTGTCTACAAAGGTCAACATGTACACTACTAGTTAAATCAAAGGCATACAATAATACACATTCATTTAAAATGTTTTTGAAGTGGGGATATATCAGGTCAAATCCACAATTGCCTTGATTCTGATCACTGAAATAAGCACCTCGATCACAAGTGACAAATACATCAATATATGAGCATAAATATCTATCTTTTACAGACATGCTGTTTGGCAAAAATTTAAATACTGCAGATTTTCTTAGGAAATAAAATAGTAAAAAAAAAAAATCTGTAGAATGCCAACCTCTGCTGCACCCCATACTTAATTTGTTATGGTAGTTTGACGTTTTTTCCCAAAAACGAATCTTAAACTTCCTTTGATTTTGATAATGCACTGCACCATTTTATGATTTTTGATAAATTATTAATTCCTTTATGAATGTTTTTGTAAATCTAAAACTCCTCTGCTTGATATCACATGTTGAGAGATCTGAATAGCTTTAAAAGTTCAGGAAATCGAATCTCTACAACTGCACATAACTGGCTCTTGTTGAGCAACCGAGCCTCTCTGATGTGTCTAATCAAAGCCAATCAAAGAGATGCAAAAGATCTAACATGGAGTCCATTTTGTTTTCCTGGCAAGTACAGTTTGCATTTCTCTCTTTGGTTTTGATTAGCCACTTCCTGTGGGTGCCAGTGTCTGCAAACAACACCAGAAATTTAAATAAGATTGTATGTTCTGTCCACACATTCTCAGTTAGATAAGTCCTAATGTGATGAAAAATGAATAAGACCGTTTGATGTTTGCCTTAATATTCTCCAAGGAAACTAAACCAGTTGTTCAGATTTTAAATGATTACTACTCACTCGTGTCGTGTCTCTAGCAGCTCCAGAGACATCCTCAGTTCTTTGATCTCCGCCTGCAGGTCTAACATCGTTGGCTCTTCTTTATGGGTCACTGTTTTGCTTTCCAAAACTTTTTTGGGTGGTGTGGGTCGAACCGGAGGCGGCGTCTTGGACCAATGATCCGGCCTTGCAGGAGATGGCAGGAGGTTTTCTTTACCCTACAATGAATTAAGGTGGCATTGAACAAACCAATGAACTTTTTGGCTTTATTTGATTTTGTTATCTGAATAAAATGTTAAAGGCACAGCACGCACAATATCCTTTATACCGAAGCAGAGCTAAATTCAAACTAGCAAGGTTGCATTATTTATATCACATGGGCTGTGTTGCATCAAGAAATGAATCAATGTCACAAACCTTTTGCAAGCCAATTAATCTGTCCGTCTGAAACCTGTTTGGCGTTAATTCTGGTTCTGTTTGGTCAGTAGCCTGAAAAAGACAATTAGCCATACATAAATAACAAACATAGATATACTAATAATGTCTAAAATCTGCCTTTAGCTATTTCATTCTTGATTTATTCCATTTTAACATCTAGATCTGTATTTTAAACAGCAAAGTACAAACTATTAAACTATTAAAGGATCTTATTGCTGCTAGTGTGCAAGTGCAGTGTGCAAGTGTTGTGAAAACACATCTCAACTATTTAGAGTTAAAGTTTTTAGATGTATATCTCTTCCTGTAGAGATATAAATATATGATTTTCCTTGCAACCATTGTAAGAGACTTCAGAATGTTTTTTTTTAAACAAAGTTGAGTCTATGAACTGAGTCTTGAAAGCCCTAACATTTATCAATCATGGTTATGTTTGGATGGCATTAACTGGTATTGAATTGCAAGTTATTACTGGGAGAAACTTGAAACACCAATATATCGCTGCAATTGGATCGCTGAAAAGCATGCCACCAAAGTAAAAAGCGGCAGTAAGATACTACTAAATATGTTCAGTTACATTTTAAGAAACAAAAAACATTTTCCTAACAAGAATGCACAAGATACAGAGGGAGTGGCATCACTGCTGCAGCCCTACTCTTGTGTTGCAAAGGTCATTTACAGAAATGGAGGTTAGCATCATCCATGTGGTTTAGCAGAGTGTTGGCGGCTGAGGTTTAGGTTGAGTGTTCATTATGTAACTCTTCACTTGTATGTTCAAGTGAAAGGTTGTGCTAAATCAATATTTGTCTGTCACTATTGTGGACATACGTGTGCAGCTGTAACCAGGCCTGACGGGGGTCTCCTCTGCGGGGGCTTGGCTCTGTTTGCTGTGGGATGGCAGAGCTTATCAGTCTGCACGTCCACGCCATCAAACTGGTCCGTCTGTTTCTCCTCCGGTTGTTTTGGTGACAAAGGAGCCACGTCGCCATTGGTTCTATTAAAAAAAAAGGCCACATTTATACAATATGTAGAAAGATGTCAACCTCTGATTAAAGTTAATAAGGGGAGGGATTCTTTCAAAACATCTCATGACTTCTTTAGTGAAAGTAAAATGGTGCACAGGCTGTAGGAAGAAAAAAAACGTTGAATGCGGTTTACAGTTTCCTACACTGATGGGTGAAGGTGTGAAGAATTTATCCTGGCACATATTTCACTTTCACAGCACATATGCATGTTTACATGTATGTAGACTTTTTGCACTACTTTGTATTTGATTATATATGTTGCATTTTTGAAGGAGCTCGTGTCAGAAGAATTTCATTGCCATTTCTACACTGTAGCTTTGTGCGTATGACAATGAAACATTTGAATTATTTTGGCATATTCCCTAGAGTCACCGCTCAACTCATAATGTTTATACAATACACAAAATAGAAAAAAATCAAAAAATACAAATAAAAATAAATCGTACAATGGTTAGATGGAAGATAAAGCTTTAACGATTCTTAAAGAAGCTAGAAAGGTTTCCATTCCAAACATATTTGCCTGGTAACACTTTTTTGTTTCTTCTCCATTAGCTGCCCCCTCAAGACAGGGTTGTTTTGTTTTCTTCGTTTTCTGTGTGTGTTTTGCTCAGGAAACAGGAAATGGGCTTCTCTCGTCTGTTTAGGCCCGATCTGACTCATCCCAGAGTTTCCACTGAGCCACTAAAGGTCGGGCATCCTGGCATTATTCTTTAAGGACACCATGGCAACTGGTGGCGACAACGGAAACCTTTAAGATCTAAAGGCTCCGCTCTCGGTGCCAGACCAAAGAGGAGAAAGTGTTCCTGACATTTCCTAAAGGCCTTTTTGCTTTAGAAAGGTTGCTAATGAATCACTTTTCATGTCCTTGAGTTGGAAGCCATTTTCTCTAGTAAGTCTTTAGTGGTTATGCATGGTGGTTAGTCATCAGAGATGTGTTGGCATCACTCACTTGGATGAGAACTTGTTGGGTTTGTCTTTGATTGGAGGCGGGCTGGGCTTGTTGATGGACGGCAGCTTGACCTTGATCGGAGGATTGCTTCTCAGGTCCTTGACCTCTGGTTTGTCATCTGTAAAGCAAATGCAACACATTAATCTACAACAATATTTATCTTCAGAGGAGTGTGTCACAATTTTGTCACTGCTGTTTATACCTTTTGTCTTTGTTGGACCACTTCTATCCATCGCTGAGGCCTCTATGTTTACTGAAAGAGTAGTGAATTAACCATTACCACAAAGGTGCATTTGGTATGTAAATCAACACAGCCCTGCTTTGGATGGAATATTAGAAGTATTTAATTTTCTACACAAAATAAAGCACAGTCTTTTGGATTTAGTACGAAAAATATTGTCATTTGAAGTCTACTGGCCAGCCTAAAAATGTTAAGCAACAACATTAAAGCTGCTCCTAATCTGCTTGGCACCAGGTGTCAAAGTGGGTAACAATATGAATATGGAGCAGGTGTTTACATAAATAAAAAAAAACATGCAGGCTCAGCGTATCTGCAGTCAATAAAAAGTGATGAGTCCTAGCCAGTAGTACAGTATGTGCAAGTTGTGGTTAAATGTGTCCATTCTGCTTGCGTTGACATCACCACTCGTCTCAATATATTGTTGTTTCCATCACTTAGGTGAACTAGAGTATATCCACTAGTAAAAAGCCACTAGCATATTTTATTAGTCAAAGAGAGGTATTTGCCTTTGTTTACCCCCCAGAAAACAATATGATCTAAAGTGGTAGAGAAAAAAATGCGACTGGTCTTTCAACTAAACTGTAATCTCCTTTATGAGCATGGGAAGGCAAAGATGTGCACATCACTGGAGCAAACCAGGGCACAGCTGTAACCAATAGCTCCGCAGCTCCAGTTCCCAGGGTTCTCAACAAGTTCATCAGGGACAGTGACTCTGCCTCAGCTCATAGAAAAATACCGTCCTTGAGAGACTGTGCCTTGGAGACTGCGAGAATAGATACTTGAATTATGAAGTGAAATAAAGATAATGTGAGAGATTCTGGTTTGCCATGCCAAGTCAAGTACTTAGTTGAAAGAGAAGATGTAGAAAAACCTGGTTACAGCTCTATTTAATACATATAAGCCCAAATCCAAGTGCGTTAACACATAGCCATAATAAAAAGCACAATACTTTGCAACACGCTTAGTCTCTTAGATGATTAACGGAGCGAGTAAGAACACAGGAAGCCTACCTTAAATGTTCAAAGCATTGTGCAACAATCCCTCTCAAGCAAACCATCCACTCAGCCTTATCAGCTCAAGTGCTGCTGCTGGGGCTGGTTGTGAATCTGTATACAGAACTCCCCTCCGCCCCCCTTGTTTCCTCCAAGACTCCTGAACTGTGTCACATGACCAGTCTAACCATCCCCCATCTCGCTACAGTCTGAGGCTTCCTGTGAACATCTTGTGAGTGATAATGTGTGGAAAAAAAAGTGGTGGCATTAAAAATGACGAGACTGTTCCGATATTCAGTTAGTTTAAGGGACATCTTTGAGTATAGCCAAACACTTTGTGTGGTACTGTTTCACCTACCTGTCTATTTAGAAATGTTTTGATGAGCATGCATTTTACATTTCCAAACTGAGTAAGAAGTTGGAGGTCTACATGAACATTTTTGTTTCGCTGAAACCAAAAGAAATTGCAGAATTTGCAACTTGCACCACAGACAGCACTCCTCAGCTGAAACTTGAAAGGAAGCCACATCCTGCCTGAGAGAGATTTGACTTCTACATGCTACAAGTGTATTCATGTTCTTTGCCAAAATAAAAACAAGTGATTTAATCTATTATGTGTTATTTAGAATTACTAAGATAGTTAACTTAAGTAAGGATAGCAATACCACCCTGTAAAGATACACGTTTACTAAATTAAAGTAAGAGATTATTGGCCTCAAAATATTCTTAACGTATCGAAAGTACAGAATGGCCCATTTCGGAATTATATACATTTTATTATTGGACGCTGAATGCATTGATTTTTCAGCATTACTTTAATTGTTCTGCTTGTTGAGGTGAGGCAAGCTGTAACCACTTAACATACTGCTGGGTAACTTCATCTCTACAATTGTATCATAATAAATTGGTTGATTATATTTTTTGAATTTGCAAAGAAACCAGTAATTTAAACTGTTAGATTAAAATAGTTCTGAAAAGTGGAATATTTGCCTCTGAATAATGATGAAGTAGAGGTTTGAAGAAGCACAACATGGACATACTCAAATCAAAGTACTTGGTAAATATACCAAATGGACTAAGTTAATTTCCACCAATGAGTAAATACGAATAAATATAAATAGAAGGTGTTTGATCAACTAATGTTGTGAATTTCTATTTATATAGAGCGATACTGAAGAGTTTCTGGTTGCTTCAGCAGCACTTTGAAATAACAACATTGATTAGCATTTTTGCTGCTTTCACAGTGTACCACATGCTCAAAGTCACTCTACAAATACTGCTTCCATTTTCTCCATCTGTTAAAACAACAGTCCTTCACAGTCCAGACTGTCAGCCCGCTGCCAGGACAAACAGCACTGCAGCCAGAAGTCGGAAGAAGAGCTCTTTAACGTATAGCCTGGTTCCCCGATCTAAAGTCAAACGGTGTGTGTGTTCCTGTACGGCGACATAACATGCTGTTCTCTTACCTGGCAGTTCGTTGTTGATGTTGCGTGCGGGCGGTTGGTTTGTGGTCCCAGACTAGAGGAGGAGAAACGGAAAACTTAACAGCTTGGCAAGTACGTCCCCGTGTGAAATAAAGGCATCTCTATTTGACATGCTCTTTTTCCACCAAGGGAATTTTCAGTCAGTAATTCCAAAACAGAGGATGTTAAAGACGAGCCTGACTCACTGGCTGCTAAAGTATCACAAATACCAGCCAGCTGCACATGAAGTGGCATTATGTACTCTGCATTTTGAGCCATTTTGATCAATAAAAAAGTATCACAGATATGAATTACTATAAAGCATGTCCAGGGCCTCATAGTAGCGGTTGTCAAGTCTTGAATTCAGGGAAGCTCCTGTCACAAGGACATTTCTTAGACTGTGGTTTAGTCAACTCACTTGCAGACTGTCCATTGGTGGTATCAGCATGACGAAGTTATCCGGAAAGCAGCCGGATCGTCCGCTTATCTCTCCCTCCCACCAGCCTTCATCTTCTGTTTCCTTCATACAAAGATTAAAGAGTCACGCTAGAAACCCAAACATCGCAGTCCTCTGGGACGCCACATTATAAGAGGTTACAAAGCGGTCAAGGAAGGCGAAGCCGTCTTATTTGTATTTGCCATCTGAAGTAACTCGGAAGTCTTTTTTTTCCTTCTCTGATTACATAAGATTATTGTCACTTAAATATGTGTGTCATGTGGTCCACCATGGCACGTGGTTTCCTTGAAAAGGGACACAACTGGTTTAGCTAGATGAACAATTTGACACCGGCAACTACTTGGCAAGAAAAGCAATTGTACCAAAAGGAGTCTGTAAGCATGACATTAGTGGAACTCATGCTAGACAGAGAATAACAATAAAGTGCGCCCAAACCTTTCTCAGGATAACAACAGTGTCTCCTTTTTTTAGATCCAGCTCATCCTCTGTCTTTGCCTTGTAGTCAAACATGGCTTGGCAACACTCCACCACTGAGGAGACATTACATTACATTTCATTAAGGCAGACACTTTTATCCAAAGCAACTTACAATAAGTGCATTCAACCAGGAGGGTACGGAGTAACAAGAATCATGTAGGTACATTAGTTTGAACTATGCCAAACCATTCCAAGTGCGAGTACATTAGCTTCAACTAAGCCATAGGGGAAGAGATGACATGTTACGAACCAGAGTATGAGTTTTAGAGTATGTGACAAACACTATGATGACCAATCTTATCAGCATTGCAACGGTCACATCTCCACTTCAAAGATTAGCCGGGAAGAGGTGTGGAAGAGTGACAAACTGGAAATAAAAGTTGTAGACCTTTGTCCTCCCCTCTGACGTAATCATTTATAAAGTGATTAATCAAGCCACGAGTATCTATGTTTGACCCCACCCTTAGGTTACCGTAAAAAGTAAAGGAATTAAACAGCCGGTATAAATAGATCTGTGTTGACGCTTTTTTTTTTTTTTTTTTAAATGCTGTTCAAAAATCCCCTTAGTGTTAATTCCATGATTGAGCAAACTAAATAAATGCAGTTAATAAAATGCCTTACCGGTTTTTGCTTTGTTCCTCACACTTGCCCTTTGAGAAATGCCCTTTGTGAGCACAAAAGGGACAATAAGTCAAAAGTTAACAACTCATGCATTTCAGAAACAATATTTCTGCTTTACATACTTCCTTGTTGAAGACCGCGTCTGTGAGCTTAGGTCTTGACTTGCCCTCATTGTACTTGCTGTCTGTAAAAATAGTAAACCACTAATGAGTTTCGCTGTCAGAGAATACATCCAGAAACATGATTAAAAAGTCAAGAGATTTACCCACCTTTAGGGGAAACAAAAATCTCTTTGACAAAATTTGATGGAAATGCTCCCAGTTTGCCATTTTTCACCCCCATCCACCATCCATCTTCAATCTGTCATGTAGATCATATCAATGAGTAACAGAGTACAACAAGAAAGTATGTGAGAAGACAACACTTGCTCAAGCATGTCCACTTTACATTCCAGAGTTATAACCAGTTTGTTTTAAGATAATACTTCAGGGTATGTATGTCCATATCAACTCTTAATACTCTAAAGTCACTCTGTGTTTCTCCTAAGCTGTGATTTCTCTGTGAGACTTGCTTTGTCAGCCTGGCGGAGAAACATAAGAGTGTGACTCCCAAATAATCCTTACACCTTATGAAAGACTCTTTATCTAGCCCGTCAAATTGGCTGAACAAACATTTAACCAACGCCCAGATTTACAATGTAGACGCTTGCAGGGAAGTGCACTGCTTCTGATAACTTAATAATAGGCTACCAAAGCTGTTTTGCAGAGCCTCATTGTTAGTTCATTTGAATGTGAGTGTTTGAGCAGCGATAGGAGGGAGTTGTACCTCGCGGAGGATCTCTATCGTCTCCCCAACCACCAGCTGCAGCTCGTCTTCATTCAAGGCGTTGTAGGCAAACGCAACCTCGCATTTCCTCGTCTGTTTCTTCCTCTTTGCTTGAAAGACAAAGAATCACCAGCCACATCAATAGACATTTGTAAAGTGTTTCATCTACTGGGAAAGCTGATGGGAAAGCTAACACTCAAAGCTCGATTCTAGGCAGTGTAGTCAAGTCTCGACAGGAAAGTGCAAAGACTGCAATCACTAGACACTTCTAACATACCTAATCCCTCGAAAAGACTCATACAATATAATTAGGATTTGTGCAGAGAGGATGTGGTTGACTTATATTTATAGTGTGCTTGATGCTGCACTGCTTTGCTGAGTCCATTCACCACCCACCACAATTTCAAACACTTGTGAACCATCAATGTTACAATAGGAAAACCAGCCTGATTTGAATAGCACTGTCAAATGTTTTCATTGTTTATTTTGAGTAGACTCAAGTTGCAAGCTGAGATAAGAAGGTTCACACTGCATACAGAACAGTATGTGCAGATTTCTTAACATGATAATTGTTCTAGTTATAATAAATGTAATATATTTATATACAGTATGATAGACTGACATAATGTGCCTTTGCAGGGCCAGAAGGCAGAACTACAGGTATTTTACACAATCAAGTTTAAAAAGAACATTTTATTAGTTGCAAATAAGTTTCATTGGACTGCATTTTACTTGTTCTGAGGCTCCGTGGTTCCCTCTTGCTGTCACCCATCAAACATACTGGCACCTCCTGTAATGACAAGGCATTTTGTAAGACATTTGGTTAACTGTAAACACACAGTATAGTACCAGTCAGCTGTAGGCTGTTTAGCGTCAACAGACCTTGGTGAAGTTAGCAGGGAAGATGCCTCTCTTTCCTCTCAGCTCCCCCTCCAGCCATCCCTCCTCGCTGAACTTTGTGACGTTTTTGACCACATCCCCCATCCTCACTGTGATCTCGTCTCCCATGGTGCCCTCGAAGTCGAGCAGCACTAGCACCTCTACAGTGGCGTGGCAAATGGGGCAGAAAATTAGACTCTTTGCACAAAGGCTGGTGTGCTGGCTTCACAACTGATGCGTCCTGACATTTGAAAACCAAGTCTAACATCCCTAAGTAGTGGAGGCTAGACAAGGGAATGGACTTTGAACCAATATAAAGGATTACAGATCAATCATACAGTATGTATCAATCATTGTATTATGTAAAAACATGTTTTCAATGTAAATCAGATGGCTCAAAAATAAACTAATTAAAAGAATCAAAGGTTTTCCTACAAAATAAAAATAAATTGCAGAACTAATACATGTATTCAATCCATGCAAATCATACACAGTACCACGACATTAGCACATTTGCATACCAATTTGATACTTCAAATAAAATCACCACCATTTGGAGCAGACAAAAAACAACTCAATATTTTCATTACTTCACATTTTTGTGTTTCACTATCAAATCTCCATTAAACACAGTTTAGAAGAATAAAAACATCAAGCAACGTCCACCCATGTAAGAATAAATATTAACGCCGACTCACCCATGATCTCGTTCTGTCTTTCTCCCTCGAATTGGAATATGTAATGTCCACAAAAAAGCAAACAAAGTCTCGAGTAGAAGGAGAACTGAAAGAGTCAAGTTCCTTCTTCCTACTTGTCAAACATTAACATTGAGCAACTTTTCCTGAGGCTATTCAAGGCAAGTCAACAGCAAGAAGTAGGATGGGTCAATGCAGAGAGAGAGAGTGCAATGGAGGGAGAAGGAGGAGAGAGAGAGGGAGGGGGTAAACAGGTAAGACAGGTTTATAGTGAAAGAACAGAGCTCCTCAGAGGCTTAGAATAGAGCATGACAACGTATGTCAGCACAATAATATTACAAGACAGTCAGCTTTGACAGGAAGCACAATTAAGCTTAAATGCAGTTCTGTTGTGTTCTTTCGTACATTTCCATACTGTGTCTTCACTCAACTATTTTTCTATGTGTTAGGACGAGTGTGTGAGTATCTGTAACGTTGTTTTTGTACGCACTTAAAGGAAAAGAGGTTAGACAGTTAAAGAAAGCAGAAGGGTATGCAAGACAGAACTTTACAAACCCTTAGCGGATAAAAGGCATTTTATAAAATGTACTTTAGTAGCTCTCCCTTCCTTTTGCTTAACATGTTGCGTCACTATGCTCAGTCACTGGAAGCACTTTCTCATCTTTCCTGTTGAAAGCTAGTAAGCGAGACTTCTCCGTCTCGTTTTATTCATTGAGGATATTCTCTTTTTGGCCTGTAAAGGTTTTCTCCTGGTGATACCGAGGGACAGCTCAACCAAAGAAGTAGTAAAAAGGTTTAAAAACTGATAATTTGGGACAAAAGCCCTTATTTCCAAATAAATAAGCATTTAGAGCAAATGTCTAAATTGTGCAAGACATGTATTCACCAATTTGTCTAGGCTTTGTGTAATAAGTCTTATATTTATACTTGGTAACCCACCAATGTCAGAGGGCAGAACATGTGATTCAGGGTTTTTGAACTTCTGGTTGCATGTGCTTGTGTCTGAATAATTTTGTTTCGAAACAAAAGATGGCAGTGTCATCGGAGGACTTACAATTGCAAGCTGTGAGGGCTACAAGCCTCACAAACTAACACACATCCTAAAGGATAGATTGAGTGCACGCAATCTTGTTTAAAATATCTATTGTTAATTTTGTTGTGTGTAATCCTAATGTCAGTGTCTTACAGCTCACCTTGCTCCTGGCAAAAGGCTGAGCTGATGGAAAACACCTGGCTTTATAGATGTGTCAGCTAATTGGACTACGCCATTCCTCTCAAACCCTGAGGGGTGTTTAAAGAGGCCACTCCATTTAAGCCCCCCCTTTTTCGAGCCTCTTCCCCCTGCACGCAACAATGGACTGGCCAGTAGTGCTTTAAATTCCTGCAGTGTGGAGATGAGGGGGGGCGGGGTTATGTGAGTTACTCTTGGGCAGAAGAGCACACAGGATGTCACCCATTTTTGTGTGTTTTGTTTATGTGTTAAATGCTAGATTGTGTCTGTTTATATCTACACCTTTTTCTTTAAACTAATTGATTTTATTACCCATCATAAAACTGTACATATATTGGGTAAATAAAATCCTTATTTTTGCACCTCAACCTGCATTCCTGATTTTTGCATACCATGGTCCTTCACACAAGCCATGTAGTTGTTTTCCTGGTCAGCTGATCCAATCATTTGTTTACAATGAGAAACAATTTGGGTGTTGTGACTCAGTTAAATACGGGCTGTTAATAGAAATTTGCAAACAGCAAGTACAGTTGTATTGTTCTCAAGATGTGTATTAACTTGATATACTTGTTTGTTTACTATATGTTAAACCTCACTGGTATCAGTTAAAACAGGTGAACCTGTAGCTGCAGATATGCATCAGGCCACTGATTGCTTCATAATCCTAAATTGCTCAAAAAACATATAAAGGCAGACATTAAAGTAATCAGTGTCTCTTTAATTTACAGTCTCCAAGAAGAAAAAACATTATCAACATCTATTTAAAAAAAACAATATTCTCAAAGCAGGTGACACTTAAAACTGTGAGTCCGAATCTGTTGGCCTGAATTGTACAAATAAGACCAGCGGATCCACAGCAAGGCACTAAAATGTAAATGTAATTCAATAATATTGGCAGTTGTCCAAACACAGATGAGCCTTATTCTAGACTTCAAGTCATTTAGTGATGATAACTCTTTTTACTCTGTTTTCTAAACAAATGCACATTTTGAGCATTTTTACCACAATGTTGACACCGTTGGACACAACTTACATAAGTGATTAAATCATCATTGGCTTGTTTCAAAGCTCAAATGAAAAACACATCAGTGTATGTATGGGGGAATTCCTTTACGGAAGTTAAATTCTACGTAGCCAAGTACAATTATGTGTTTGGGAAAAGAGTATAATCACCACCAATATTATACGTTGATTAGTGTTATCCACGATGAAACTAATAGCTACTGTAATGTAATTGTTTTGATGTTAAAATGTTTAATGAGAAACACATAAGCCAGCTAGTTGTGTTGATCTGTTGGGTGTTGAACAAAGAAGGATTGTAGAGCATAACCTTTGACCCTTTACAGTTTGGTCCCGTGTCAGATCAGGGTCTTTGAAGAGTGTTGCATTGACCGAACAATGACGTTCTTATGTTAACATGACCTACAGTGTTTTTATTACTGCAATTTCAATCCAGATAAGACACAGCTCAAAGCAAGAGCCTGTTTTTCCAGAACGTTTAACATTATTAATCTTGTAACCCACTCACAAAACATTTCTTCAGTTGCACAAGTATAAGGCACACGCATTTATTATTTTTTTTTAAATTACTCAAAAATACAAATTTCTTTTTTTTTACGCATAGAACATTTCCACTTAACCGTAAAAAGCTAAAAATATGTAACTTAAAACCACATTTTTACGAGAAACATCAATTCACCCTTTAAACAGTGCATCTACTAGCTATGAGTTCTATCCTTATATGGAAAATTGTTATGTTTAAAGTAAAGTCAGAATCTTACGCTGAAATCAAAGTTTAAAAGAGTCCATTGTGCTATGTAGAATCACAAAGTGAGATTGTTTAAAAGTGAAGAAGAAAATTAAGAATCTCAGCATCCTCTTTCGCTGCTCAAGTCTTCTCCCCTTCCATTCCTCCATCTTTATGGTCCTGTTGTCTCTCCTCTTCCTGAGCGCTGCCTTGCTCCCCGTTGATCTGGAACTTATCATGGGCCCTTTTGGGGCTGTCGGTGTTGGGGCCTCCAGCGGCTTTGCGGATGATAAATCGAGCTCTTCCACGCGAGGCGCTTCCCCGTCCGCGCCCTCGGTTTTCAAACCACTTGAGCTCTGCTTCTCGTTCTCTGTCGTCGTGCTGAGAGAAAAAGGATAAAGGGTTGTCATTTCCAAACTTGAATTATAGATTATACAACACCATGTGGTTCATTCAAACAAAGATGGGAGGGCTGAATGGATATCGACCCTACCAAGTAGTATTTTCTGCTCTTGGGAGTGAACTCTGGGTCCCAGTCTTCAGCTTTTGGGTCTACTTCCATGTTTGCCATGGCGTTGCTGTGTGAACTGTTTCCTTGATTATTGCCTCCGTTCCAGCTCCGACCGCGTATTCGGACATGCTGTAAACAGAGGATAAGGCAAGAAAAATCAGCATTTTAATTCATATCAATTTAAGTCAAATTGTACAGTAGGGCTGTGCGATTATGGCAAAAATCATAATCACGATTATTTTGGTCAATAATTGATATCACGATTAATAAAAACAATTGTGAACAATATGTTTTTAACAGTTGATTACCCTGAACTTTAAAGGTGGGGTAGGTCATTTTGGAGAAACCAGCTCGAGTGCGCTGGAATTTGAAAATACACAGCCGGAAAAAATCTGCCCCTTCCTTACAGAGCCCCTCCTCCAACAAACACGAACACGCACATGACCAATGAGGGCACGAGATAAGTTTGAAGACAGATAGAAGGCTGACAGGCAGGTAGGCCATCCAGTTATTTTAACCGGGCCGGCTAAAATGATTGGTCGTGCTTTTTACAGTATTACGGGTTCCACAGATGACATTTTTTTATGGATTTTTTGTCAAAGCAATTCAGATATTCATTGCTATCGGGATGTTAAAAGCATTCCATGGAATATAACAAAAAGTATATCTCGAGCCGGTTTCTGAAACGTGGGGTAGGTAAGTTTCTGCTCTTAACATCCCGATAGCAATGAATATCTTAAGTGCTTTGACAAAAAATACATAAAAAAATGTCATCTGTGGAACCCGTAATACTGTAAAAACTACAACCAATCAACCAACAGACAGGGCGGCAATCCAATCCGTTTAGCCGGGCCGGCTAAACTGATTGGATTGCCGCCATTGACGCGCAAATGTATCTCGTGCCCTCATTGGCCGTGCCGTCATTGGGCGTGCATCGCAGCAGTACTTCAATGAATCGCCAGCAACAGGCGGCCACTTTCACCATGGCAGAGTTAGGTTCAACATCGTCTACTGGTCGCAAAAGAAAAAATGTAACGGAGCAAATTAAGAACAAAAAGAAAGTGGAAACTAGGAGAAGTCAAACCAGAGTCAATATCGGAGTTGCTTTGGCTGTGTAGTATTGCTAACCTAGATGTGTTTAGCTTTGCCTGATATGTAACGTTACTGCAGCCTGCTCTCGCGGAGGAGGTGCTCTGTAAGGAAGTCTGAAGGAAGGGGGGGGATTCTTTTTGGCTGTGTACTTTCAAATTTTAGTGCAATCGAGCCGGTTTCTGAAACTTACCTACCCCACCTTTACATTACATTACATTGCATTTTGCTGACGCTTTTATCCAAAGCGACTTACAATAAGTACATTCAACCGGGAAGATACAACCTTGAAGAAAACAGAATCATATAAGTGCATCAGG